TTTTTAATAGTAAAACATTAGTATGATAGATCCCACAATGGAACTAAGGCTCTCAATATTAGTTTTTGGATTAGTATCTCTCGTAGCGTGCTCAAATTCCCATACTTGATCCTAGACCTCTATTTACCATCTAAAGTCAAGAGTACCTAACATTTTAAGAGCTTGTTGGCATCAATGACGAGTTGGCTAAAAGTGTGATAAGGCTCAAAGGTTACTTTGAAATCTATCTCACGGACAATCTCTTTTTACATTTTAAATAGCTTTACATTTAGTTTGATAGATTGCTATCATCTTAAGCTACATTTGAAATTTTTTGTCGCTCATCATGAAACATAATGACCGAGGTTATCTCGGTTAAGGTTTTAATCACATCTAACTAGCTCGATGTTTTTAGCAATGGAAGATGATCTTAGGGTTCATTTCTAGCCATTATATGAATAGGTTGGATCTATCTAAACTTAAAAGGGTGTCTTCTAGCTCGGTAAAGCATAATATAATCACTTGGGACCAATCTGTAGTGATATTAGCAATCTTAAAACCCATCAATTACCTATCATAATGTTGGTAGCTAGTAAGAAGGCTTGAGATTTATGAGTTTTTGTCCTAGAAAAAAGCCATCAAGGCACCACTACTAACTCTTTAGAACTTAAGGCAACATGCATACAATTTATAATTATGTAATGATATGTGCAAAGGCATAACTCCATACCTAGTCTCAAAAAATAAAATTAAAAAACTAAAAACTAATAAAACTATGAGAGAAAGGAACACAATAATATACGTGCACACTAAATATACACATTCACAAAATTATTATTTACATAATATCTAAACATAAATAAGTAATTAAAAACAAAAATTCACTCAATAATCAATTACATAAGCATAGAAACATAACACACAACCAAAGATTTTTTTCACACATGCATTCATAGATTAACCCTAGTTTAGTCCTTAATGAAGTCGCCAAACTATTGTAGAGTTGAAAATGCTACATCTAGGGAGTTCGACAAATCGCTCTTGGGAAAGATAAGAAATTAAGAAAAGAGCATCACTTAGTATCGAGAAAACTAGAAAATCCTAATAACTGGTCTATATAAAATCTAAGAGATTGGTTATGGATGGAGAAGATTGAAATCATCATCACCACATCCTACTAAAGGTAGGCTACATTACATGTATATAAAAACTAAATGTACTAGATCTTTAGTCTTACTATATTACTAGTTTATGCCAATTTGAGTAAATTCATCTTTAAATTAAGATAGATTAACCGAGTAATTTGGGAATTAGGCTAATGGAAGGCCTATCTCTATACTCTAAAACAAAAGGAATAAAATATTCAAGAAATGGTGAGCACCTAATGGTCATGCAGCCCATAAAAACAAAATTAGCGAGCCCCTAATGGCTGTAATATGCAAACATAAAATTGATGAGCCCTAAATAACTCCAGCCCTTAAACACAAAATTAATAAGTTCTTAGTAGATGCAACCCGTGATCATCAAAATTGGTGAGTCTTAATGACTCGTCGTCCCTAATTACAAAATTGATAAGTCTTTAATGACTACAACTTGTAAACACAAAATTAATGAGTCCTTAATGATTGTAGCTCGTAAACATAAAATTTTTCAAGCCCTTAATGGTTGTAGCTTGTTAACACAAAATTTGATGAGCCCTTAATAGATGGAGCCCGTAAACACAAAATTTGGTCAGCCCATAGTAGCTACAACCCATAAACATAAAATTTGGCAAGTCCCTAATGATTGCAGCCCTTAAACACAAAATTATATCTAAATGTGGCATTAGCTTTTGGAGTTAATCTTGATAAAATCCACACATTCCTCAAAGTCAAGCTCAATTCGACATGAATGTGGCATCAATTTTTGAAGCTAACCTTGATAAATTCATTGTATCCGTCCATCATATTTAATTAATCACAATTATGATGTTAAATATTGAAGTTAGCAATGATCGATTTATCATATTTACACATCACATTTAAGAGGTTAAACCATATAAACAAACATGGCATGAACATCGCATTTGACAAATCATACCACACAAGCAAAATTATACCCAAATACGTATACCGACATCGACATTTGTCCCGGATAAACTAACAAAATTAAAACCCATGCCTAGTCCTCCTAGCTCCATCACAAAGTATTGAATACCAACCTTATTTCTCCTAAAAAATACCTAAGGTCTTAAATCCTTTCAAGTTCGATACACATTGGTGTATCTTAATCATACTTCAAATGTCACAATAGTCCATAAGCATCACATCTATTCATAACATCCAATGAGATACATTTTAACTCAAAAACAAGATTTATTTTTTCATATATGTATATTTTAAATATAACACTTTTCTTAGTATTTTTTGTTATGAAGTTTAAACACAATTAAAAAGAACTTAGTTTTGTCACTACATAAAATTATAAAGTCGGAAAAACAACTTCTAGAGTGGGAATAACATAATTCTTTTCTAATTCTTAATTTTATTTTATTTTAGTATTTTTATTTTTATTTTTATTTTACACATGTAACTATAAGAGAATCTTCATGATGAAATCCATAATATATATATATATATATATATATATATATATATATATATATATATATATATATATATATATATATATATGACAAGACATAGCATTTAAGTTATTTGAAGTAGATACTTAATATTCTCAAATAATGATTTCAAATTGTAGCAATAATAGTCTCTTTTTTGCCATGTTATGCTTCTACAAAAAAAAATTACAAATAAAAAAAAATCTCTATAACATATATAGATTAATATTAAGTAAACACGAAATAAACCGTACAAGTTTGAGAATTTTCACAATAAGCAAACAAGTTTTTGAAAAGCATGTACTCATAGAAACCGAAATAACTAACACAATTTATCCAATATCAATCATAAAATTATTAGTCAAGTACATGTGACATATGATTTTCTTCCTAATTTTTTTAACTAATTGTAGAGGTATACTTATGAAATTATTTTCTGAAATGTTCCTATAAAATAAGAGGAAGAGACGACCGAACCTTCAAGGTCACCGATCTCCCTCCTCCGTCAATAGTGATTGACAACACCACCTTAGACAAATTGCCGAGGACCTCCTCCAGCTTGTGAATTGGTCGATGCACCCGAAGGATGGCCAAATAATGGTTGGAGCAAATGGCGGTAGCTCCAAGGGTTATCGAGGCAGCTTCGTAATTTTAGACCACTAGGGGGCATTTTGGTAATTTTCATATATATGGGTATTTTAGTCATTTTACATCATCTTCAACACTTCAATTATCAGTTGCTCTCATTTCCTAACTAACTAAATAATTAGTTCTCATTTGAGATGAAGAGAGTAGAATTGACCCCAAATCGAGTTTTTGGCAACTTCACCATCTTTCGACTTGTTTTAGGTAACATTTAAAAATTTATACCCATTTGATATTATTGATTAAACTATTTTATTTTTGTATATGAAATTGCCTTAACCGTGATTGATTAAAAATCTTAAATGTGATGTGCCAAATATGTGATACTCATGCCTAATGCATAATTACCCGATTTTCCGTAAGCTTAAAAGGAAGCTACCGGTGGCTTTCCACCTATGTGGTCAAAGTCGGCTATGACTTCCAAGCCATTTTACCTACTTTTTGTTTGTCTAAAATGAAGTTGCTGGTGGCTTTTTGCTCGTGTCGTCGAAACTGTTCACGATTTACAATCTCTACCCACATTTCCCTCTTTGAGTATGGATATTGGCCTTTGACCGACTTGAACCCAAATTATTCCGTTATTTCATCTTGATAAAATAAATTCACTTAAATAGTTATAGAAACATAATATAGCATAAATCAAGTTTTGTTTTCGCATGCATTCAATGTAAACTATCTTAAGTTAGACGAGATGACAACGTGATTAGTGAATAATTTACATAATTTGTATTCTCTTTTTCATTAGACTTACAAGTACTTTATGTATTATACTAAGCTAATTAAGAACAAGATAACGAGTTAAAGTTTTATAGGAAAAATGATAATTAAAGTGAATAAACTCAAGCCAAGGTGCATAAAAGCCCAAGCTCACGAAGGACCTAATAGAGACGATGATGTTATATCTTTTCATATATAACCGATTTCTTATCCAAATATCTATGCAGATTAGTTTGTTTAGGGTTTTCTAGTTCTTCCCGACTAGCTAGGTGGTGACTCTTGTTCCCATGCCGCTTCCACTACACTTGTCGACAAACTAAAATTAAACATTCTTCTAATATATATATATAGCATAATACATATTAAATTAAATTAATTTTTACAATTACTCGTTAATTAATTTTTATTTTAGGCCTATATTTTTTAATTATTTAAAATATTGTATCATAGTATGTATTAATAGATCTACCAACGGCAATGTGCGAGTACCATGGTGGTAGTGTAAAACTAAATGCATACCATCAAATTGATGTAATTGATAATGACCATAGAAATTGCTTTTGCGGACAATTTATAAATAATCATAGTAATATATAACAAGTTTCATGTATATTGAAACCTCATATAATTCGAATTTTTTTATTGAAACCTTAAGTTTTGTTTTTTTTTTTTTTGTCTAATTTAAGAGTTTTATTTTATATTGTTGTTGTTTCAAACGCTAACGTGCCACGTAAGCATATGTGGCAAACTCTAACTAATGACAACTTGTCACGTGTTATGATGTGTCCAAATTGAGTGATTAAATTGATGACTACATGGAAGAAATAAAAAAAAAAATTGAATTATATGATGTCTCTATGTGCACAAAACCCAATATGTAACTACATGGGATAAATAAGCAATAATACGTTGTGGCTCCAAATATATATCACATAGAAATTAAGCTAAAAGTTGATCTTTAGTATACTTTATTACCATTCGTGTCTTGGATTCAGTCGGATTCTTCATCACCTATAGGTACGACTATAAATAAAGCTCCAAATATGACTCGGTTTTGTTAAACAAAAGGTGAAGTTTCACTAATGTTTGAATACTTGGACTCAGGATTGGGTGGGTAAAGATCTTTCGCAGACGTGGAGGAGGATACGGTCCATGTTTTATCAGATGAAGAAATGAGGTCTTGGGTGCTGCCGCTGGTTAAACTCTGGTCTCCAACCTGTTGGTAGTGGCCTTTTAGGTGTTGAAGTTGTAAATCATCACCGTAAATGCTAGGATCCGACATCACTTCCTGAATGCTTGTCTGTCCTTCAAGCATACTCACCACTGCTGGCATTGTAGGCCTTAGAGATGGAGACGCATTGGCGCATAAGAGAGCCACTTTGATCATCCTTTCAGCCTCTTCCTTGATGAATTCAGACTGCAGCTTTGGGTCCACTATCTCCATCAATTTTCCTCTTTTTTGCAAAGCAAATGCCTGTGACAACAAAGTTTTTAAAACAAATAAAATGGAAGCTAAAATATTTGACCAAATATACCATGTTCGTGCATAGGCGACTGATGCCTACTGCATTATAATTTCAGGTTAGAAAAAAGAAACAGACTGATATGGATCTTTACCGAATCAAGAAGACAAACGTTTTCATTCTTCGGGCTGTAACTTGAGTTGCTCCTCCCACTGACAATTTCTATAGCTACAACCCCGAAACTATAAACGTCTGCTTTATCTGTTAGATAACCCCATATTGCATATTCTGGAGCCATATATCCTCTGAAATAAAAAATACATGCTGAATTAGCACCTTCAGACCAACGAGGTTTAATGCTATCAATAAACTATAGAATATTTATAAAAAAAAAAAAAAAAAAAAGAACAGGTATTAAATTAGTAGCAGTATAACTTACATAGTTCCAGTAACTCGAGTGCTAATATGAGTGTTCTCCTCTTCATTGAGCTTAGCTAGTCCAAAGTCTGATATCTTGGCATTTAGATCCTCGTCCAGTAATACATTTGTACATTTGATGTCTCTGTGAACAACCCTGATTGCTGAGCCTTCATGGAGAAATGTTAAACCTCTGGCAATTCCAACACATATCTTATATCTTGTCGGCCAATCCAACTTCAGAGCACATGTTTCGGAATCTGGTGCTAATCCAATAGAAGAGCTTAATTAAACAAGATCATTCTATGCTTGCTAGTTAATACTAGTGTTAAAATGAATTGACTTTTAATGAAGAGTTATCAAATGCAATTATGATTACCGAAAAGTGCACGAGCAAGGGAATTGTTTTCCATGTACTCGTATACAAGCAGTAACTGATCTCCTTCAATACAACATCCGTAAAGCTTCACAAGATTGGGATGCTGTAAACCTGTAATCATGCCTATTTCATTCACAAATTCGCGGGTTCCTTGCCTGGATTTAGGAGAAAGCTGCTTAACAGCAATAATAGTGCCATCTGCTAATTCACCCTGCATTGAAAGTTACTGTATACTTATAACACAAATCATGCATCTGAGTGCTATTTAATTTTTTGGCAAATTCGCCCATATGCTGCTGCATAATGTTTCTAACAAAACTTCTAATAATCGAGTCGCATAATTTGCAAGATTTTATTCAACGACATACCTTATATACAGATCCGAAACCACCTTCTCCAATCTTGTTTACGGAATTAAAATTGTTCGTGGCAGCTTTTAGCTGCCTTAAGGTGAAGGAACCGGTTTTCAGATCTAACCCTTTAAGATCTGCGCATAGCAGTTGGTGTAGAAGGATGTCATTCAGGGGACATATAATGACATAAGAGAAATGCTTAATACCATTTATTAACCATTATTTAGCAAATTAAAAGAAAAGGAGAAGACTCAATTGCAGAAATGATTGATTTTACCATACCTCGTTTTCTTGTGTATTTGTACTTGTCTCCATACCAGAATTTCCAATAAATGACACCCATTACCAAAAAAACAAGGCATACTGTTGAAGTGACAACTCCGATCACAATAGGTTTTGTACTTGCTTCTTCAGGTTCTGATAATAAATAAAACCACAAATGCAAAGAAAGCTAAACATCCATTCAATGGACAATAAACATCAATGGTATAGAGACAGCAACCATTGCAACACAGTTCACTTCTCACCTGGACAATAAGTTCTGTGACCTGAAAACCACAAACCACACAAAGCTTCTTAGATGGCAAAATGAAGTGATGTAGATGCTTTACAGTTATAATATTGAAAATAAAAAATCAAGCTCATAATAGAAGAATCGATCAGTTTATAAGATGACTATTCCTAATTATATAATACAGAAAAATGAGTTGACCAATCTGGCGAAATCTTTAAGTTCATGTGCTCTCCTGTATTAAGTGAAAATAGAGCGTTTAATCTTGTTTTACGTTCACTCAGTTTTTTCATACAGTTGTAATCCAAGTCGTCGGAGATGCTCAACTCAAATTAAGTGCAAGATATAAAGCATGACCCACTAGATATATATAACCTGATCTGAGAGATGGAAAATAACCGAGAAAACCAAGCCTAACATCAATAAAAGAAAAAATTAATATTGGTATGGGTTTCATTTGAACTTGATAAAGGCCGTGGTATATACTAAAACTTCTCAAAGTAGGTAACTTCCAATGAGAGGCAAAAAAAGAGCACATAACATACCTGAACATACAGATATAGCAGAAATTATAGGACCATAATCTCCTCTTCTTGGAATGCAAGTAGTCCCTTTTCCAGCCCAGTATAAACGGATCTCCAAGGTACCGTCTGTCACAGTGGTGTTGAATACTATTGTGAAGTTTTTGCTAAATCCATTGGCTGCCTCCTTAATGTTAAAATTCTTTTTCTCAAGTTTTCCCTGAAACAAAGTTTCCTACTCAAAAGGGCTCCTTTGAAAAAATAAATAAAAATAAAGACATCCACAATCTCTTCGGAAGGAAAAGATAATTAGTTACCTGAATGTAAATATCAAAAACACGCCTTGCAACTTTGTTGTATAGTTCTTCATCTGTCAATTCTATCTCAGCAAAGTGGAGTCTAACAGTATAAATCCCATTTTCTAGACAATATCCATAATAAGTGAGAGACAGGGGTGTTCTACGTGCTGTAGTATACAATTCATCCATAGAAATATTAGAGTTTGATTCAATTGTATATCTGTTGTCGTTGTAGTTTTTATCATCCATGAAATCTCCTGTGCAGCTGAATCCCCAGTTTGATCCTAATCTATAATAATTCCTTGCAGCAGCATTACTACATTCATTATTTTGCTCACCTTCATACAAGATTCTTTCGCTCTCTACATCTGGTCCACCACAATTTACGTGGAATGATTGATAATCTGCAAAACATCACATTAATGCACCAGTAAAAATGTTGCAATTTGCCTTGGTCATACTAAAGAAGCATGGCGATAAGGAAAGAGCTTCAAAACAACTATTAGTCATTGGTTAATTCTCTCAACTTTTGGTTTCTGATGGTGAAACCAGTGCTAAAGTCCAGCTTGAAACCAGTTTTTGGTGTACAAATAACTCTTTACTTTCAACCAAAATGGCAATGAATATATCCTAAATAGACCTGATACTTGCCACTTAGATTTTGGCTACATAAATCCTTCTCACCAAATAGGATGCTTATTGTGCAAGGCGCCATTGATCTTTGTATATCAATAAACTTGAAACAAATACATGGTTTTAAATAACTTCATAACTTCTTAAATAAATAAAAAACGCATACTTTTTCGGCATTGAGATATCCCTGAGCATGGAAGAAGTACACTTCTGCAAAACATGGAAATTAGAGTATTTTGTTAGAATAACAAATGCCTCTGTAGATTGCATTCTAAGAATCTGATATCAAAAGCATCCATTAATAATTAGGATCACTTCATGCTTAAGAAAATCATATTACTCGAGGAAAATATTCACCATTGCTCATTGAAAAATTGACCTATAAGGCTAGATAGTAGGTACGATCTGAAGATAAGCATTTTACTCTAAGTAATTTCTATAATTTTTATTTTATTTTATTTTTTCTTTTCTCTTTGACTAGAGACTAACGAGGAAAATTTTTTCAACTAGCACTGTATTTGAGCCAGATTTTTTTTGTTGAAAATGAAGTGTGTTGATCATCAAATTTCATACTGCTAGCTTGTCAGCCTAGATAGACGATTCATAGACAGCAGACAATTAAATTTGCTGTACATTTTCAGTTCTCGACTACCAAGTCTTTTTCTTATATTTGTTTTCGTCTTTTATGCCCTATCATATCAATTGGTAGGAATTTTGCCAGAGAACTAAATTATTGGAATTACGGTCACTATCAGACTGGATATCCAAAAATATTGCAGTCCACATGACAATAAGAGAAAAGCCTTACAAGGTATTCTTGATGGATGAGCTTCGAAACCTGTTTGTATCCCTGATTCATAGACTCATATCATTCAGTTCAAAATAACCAGGAATAAGCCAATTCAAAAATCATGAGCATCCTTACTTAGCATCGAAGCTGCAGCTTGGTAACTGCGAAAAGTTATTGTACGAAAAATCACTGCCAAAAAAAAAAAAAAAAACAACAGAATCATAATCTGAATATGAACTTCCACGAGATTACTAAGCAAATGGAATATACGAAAAACTAATGGTTGAAAATATTCAGAGAAAGATAATAAAAGCGACAGAATTATCAGAAATTATATAAAAATTAGGTTTTCTTGTAGTCCTAAATGCTACCAGGAATTGATGAAAATGCCAAGGAATTTGTTCACTAGTGGCTTTAGATTGTCAAGATTTACTGAGAAGTGCTTATATGTGTTGATAGTAGAAATTCAGAACATCAACTAACAAAGTCCTTAGTTTATTACTTAAGGAGAAAAAATCACAAATTTCATAAGTGAGTATAATTCCACAACATTCATTTCTAGAATCTGCTCATTGGAAATAGTTATGTAAAGAGATTCAACTTATAATACATAATTTATCTACATGTTGTGATTAACATAATGCTCTATTTGTCTATCAGTTCCTTTACCTTTTGTGATTATGTGCATAAATTTAAGTGTTAGTGTGAAGGCAGTACAAACTAAGTGAAAGATAATAAAAAGCACAAAACTAGAATGAAATTCTGCATGATACATAAGCGAGAAGCATGCAGAAATTAAGTGCAGTGGCGAGAACTGATGAAAAAATTACCAACTTTAATTTGTAGGTACAGAACGCGAGTCTTGAGCAGATTGGCAAAAGCTAGTGCCGGGTTTTCATTAAAGACGAAAAAAATAAAGGGGATATTATTTGGATGGCTGGAAGGGAATTCTTTGTAATCAAAATCAAGTTCTTGCAACTTGAACGCTCAGGTTAAGCTACTATCAATTCTGTGGATGTATTCTTGTGTATTGAGCGGAGAAGTCAAATCTCATATTTGCATATTCAGTTTAAATGGCTACCCAAGATTTGTTTTATCTTTTAGTTTGTATTATGTTGTCTGTGAGCTACTAAATGTTGTTATTCAACAATCTAATGTCATACTAACTGAGCCTGCAACAATATGTGATAAATCAGCTAAGAAGGAAATGTCATATTGAGAAAAAGAGTTCATCTGAGTTGAGCTATAAATGTTTCCCTTTTATGAAAGAGGGACCTTAAATTCATATATACTACATCTTTCACTGAAGATCATGCAGTTCAGAAACGTATAGACATGAGATTTTGTTAAGAAAATTGAGACCCATCGGCCATAGATCTTTATGAAAAAAAGGCGAAGCGTATATAACAAGATTCAAATATGTGAATCCAATGACGTAGTCTAGAAACCTACAGTTTTTGGCTATTTTGGAGGAATGAATCTTGAACTGTTCCATTCAGCATGTTGCCACTCAAAAACCTGGTAAGAAAGAAGCCACATTGATGCTTTCAGCATAATTTACTTCTCGATCCATGGTAAGATTTCAATCTAAATTTCAAATGATCAAAGTTTAACATTGCTCACGTAAACTCTCGTCGTTTTGTTTGAGAAGGAATTTCCCCAACCAATTTGTTAAAAGTTAAATCACTGCAAGAAAGTACAGGACACAAAATTTCAGGCTTCAATCTTCACAGAATATGTAACAACCTTTGTAAGTATATTTGCAATTAACAAGCAAGAACATGTCATATAAAGATTACCCAATTCTATGAAACCCTTTTAAACATGGTCAACTGAGACCACCTAGGGATTATGTTCATTGAAGTAATCTGACAGTATTAACATAATTATTTTCTTCCTTGGAAAGTTCAAATTTCTTGACATCACTGCCTACTCCTTAAATTAAAATATGATTAAGTAACTTCATGCTTTTCATTGCAGCCCTAGAAAGGCTCTAGTACTACATGTTTGTAAGGTATGTAGTATATAAGTTAGGTAGAACCTTAAGCATTTACTAGTGACTTGTGACTTCCTTTAAATTATATATATATGCGCCGGTCCTGACATTTAATAATCTGATCGTGTGTAAAGTCCAATCATATGATCTTAAGAAACAATTCTGTAATTTGTAATGATGATTCTCATGAGCATCCAGATCGATGCATCCAAGTCCTACTTCACTCTACAGAAAAGAAACATAAAATTATCTTTATTTGTCAACTTCTTTCTCTTTATCCTGGATATAGAACCAAAATAAAATTCCCACGTTGTGCAGTTTCACTTGTTGTGATTTTTCAACTTACTCTATTAGGACTAAAAAAAAAAAAAAAAAACTATCAGTGAATCATTTATTTTCAACTTATCGAACAGACAAGAAAGCGCATATTGTTCACTATTCGCTAAGACATATGTTGGAAACAAATTATCCTAAAGCCTTGATGCTGGCCGCTCCTACATGGAGATCATGATAAATAAATAAATAAATAAATAAATAAAGGTACAAGGATTGAAACATTATCAAATTATTTCAATGTTCAATTTATATTGCATAGCGGTACATGTAAGGTGATGAGGGAAGTTCACTTACAGAGTTATTTCCGTTTCCCATGCCCATGCAACTTTTCGGATAACTCCAACTAAATTGATGTTCCTCAAAACCCTTTCAAGAAATTAATTACAGGTTGGTTAAACAGTCTTAAAGAAAATGTATCCTCAAACTTATTGTGAAAAGGTTATGAAGCACTTCTTCACATACAAGTAATCCTTTATGCTCTTGGACATGCTAGGTAACTGAAACTCTGGTCCAGATAAATCAGTAATTCTCCTGCAAAAGGGAAAGACACCATAAGTATAAATTGAATGTTCAATTCCCTTCCCTCTTCTCCTTCTTTTTCTCAAAGAGAAAATGCATAGCAAGGAGTGTGTTTACTCACAAATCAACCAAGTTTTCCAAATCAAAAATGGCAGGAGGCACGGGTCCTTTCAGTCCAGTCGCGTAGAACTCGCTTCATTAGTTAAGAGCAGAATAAGAAATATCAGAATTTGTATCTTGTAGCAAGAGAATGAATTAAAATCCTAAGAAAATATATAAAGATCTTACAGCCTTTTAAGTTGAGTCCAATTCCCAACGAACTCGGGTATGGTGCCATTGAAGTTATTATCACTAGCACGACTGCACATTACAGAATCAAAGGAATTCTGATGATGTTAAATTATTAAAAGAATCTGTGTTTGAAGTAAGGAAATAAGTGATAGCTTACAAATCCTCCATGCCTTTTATCTGCGCGAGTGTCTCTGGCAAGCTTCCCTCTAACTGATTATTGGAAAGTATCCTGCAATAATTAATTCACAGCACCAAAGCAAAGATTTCAAACGAAATCGGTGGCAAGTTTTGGTTTGACAACGAAGAGTATAATTAAATGTCTTACAGAGTTGTTAAGTTGACAAGGTTCCCAAGCTGAGGAGGTATAGTGCCAGAAAACTGATTTGCTTCAAGGCTCCTTTATTTTCGAAGTTGAAGAAAACATTAGAGAAACAGACAACTCAAGCTAAAGGTACAGCAATTTAACAGATTAAAAGACGTACAAGTAGGTGAGACTAGTAAAACTTCCCAAATATCCTGGAATAATTCCTGACAAGCGATTCGCAGTAAGCGAGCTGCATGACAATAAAAGGTTTGTTGGTTATGTTTGTACCAAATAAGATAAACCAACTAGAAGAGGTGAATACGCTTACATGAAAATCAAATTTTTCAAAGAACCCCATTCCACCGGAATTGTGCCAGAAAGATAGTTGCGAGTAAAATCACTGAAATAACCAATGTTGTTGAAGTTTAGCATCAATTCAAGAATTATTTCCCATCTACTTCAACAGGTAATCCAAACGCTTCATATTTTATATATGTTTATGGCAATTTCATGATAATATAATGCATGTATGCATAATTAAAGGTTTCTTACATAGATTGGACATATGTAAGGTTGACCAATTGGGGAGGAAGCCTGCCTGGAAGACTGAAACCTTTGAGAAGGCTTTATTGCATGCATTCGGGAGAAGTTAATTAAGGAAAGATAGTATTAACTTAAAGAAAGAAAAACATAAAATGGAAAAATGAAAAGTAATTAATTAAATTAAGAGACTTACAATGCGGTAATGTGACAGAAAGCATCATTAGTGATGGTGCAGCTACATTGGATGGTGCCATTCATTTCTGCGTTTCCTGGAGGAGGAGTACCCTTTATCTCAACTCTTTCTGATTTACAGCTATCGCTGAACTTCGACAGTATTTGGCCACCCTCGTAAATTTTCTTACCCATTTCTCTTAAAGCTTCAACTGATGATCATTAATTGCATTAACAATTTTTTTTTTCTTTTATTTTGGAGAATAGCAAGGAACACAATTAATTCTGGAGGAATGCACGCCATTCAGAACATTTGCTGATTTTTTTCTTAATCAAATTTATTATTATTATTACTATTATTTTGACATTTTATAAAGAAATATGTGCAACTCACGTGCTATCGAATGAAAAAAATGGGTGGAATGTAAACAAAGAGGTGTCAATCAAAATACTGAAAAAAAAAAAAAAAACTATATCTTTATGCATTCAGGGAGTGTTTGCAAGGATTAGCGAAGGAAATTACGCTCCTTGAAATACCATTTTTTTGTCCCAAAAAATAATGCCTAATTAAGCATGCTATACTCTATACGTTTAATTCTCAAGTCAAGTGAAACTAGTTTATTTATGTGATCTGAATTTTGTAATTCGTCCATCATATATATATAACTTCCTATGATTTTTAAGAAATTTTCTTGATTGCGGCATAAATTAGTAAGGTGAGATGTCACGTTTTTTTTTTTTTTTTTTCTAAATGGATATGTAGAAAATATTTACTAACAAATTAACGTATCCCAAAGGAGAAGCCCAACCATTAAGAGCTGGGATTTATACAGTATATTTATCAAAAATAAAAAAAGGAATGTACTTGATTACTACTACAGTTCCAAACAACAATAAAACTTGAAAAAAAATATATTATTTTAGAAAAAAAATCCAAAGATAATTGGGTATTAAAAAATATTCCAATTCTTCTGGACAAGCATTTGAATGAATCTGTGGAACATGCAAGTAATTCGTTAGCTTTTACTAAAATTATTGTATTAGCTAGCTGTTGCCACATATAGCCTTTGAAAATTAGATATGGTACCAATTACAATAACTATGACAACCAAACAACCAAAAAAAAAAAGTGCTTCAAAATTTAAATAACAACAGAAATACTCAATAGCAACAAGTAAAATAATTTAAGGAAAAAAAAAAGGGAAGAGAGATAAATTAACCAATTTGAAAGTGAAGAGAGGCTAAACGATGGTGGTGATGATGAACGGAACAACAAGTATTGGCGGGGGTGAACAATTATTTTGCCTAGAAAACTATGTTTGATGATTTGCCTGAAAAAATTTCTCCAAGAAGTTCTCCAAACGGATTATTCTATTTGAATCCATAGATGATATTTATTAAATTAAACAAATGAATATTATTTTAACCACCCACAAAATCACCTTGAGAAAAACATTACTTGGGAAATTATTTAGGTGATTATTCTGGACAAAAAAATAAATTCCCCTGGTGATTTTTAGTTCTCTAGAAATGGACTACAATCTTTTTTGCTGAACTAATCATCAAGTTCTTAACTTTATGAACTTACAAGTGATCACCAGCAAATCTTTTAATAATATTTAAGGATCAAACAAACACACACATATATATATATATGAACGAAAAACTTCATGATAAAGTGTTGAAAGTTTCAGTTAAGATTTGCTAATTAAGATCTCAATATCTCATTATGTGACAATATCATACACTTAAGGAATATTTAACTAGGCTGTTCTTACCTTCTCCTGGATGTAGCTGAGAAGCAAGCAAAGTAATGGAGCTCAAGAAACTGATCATCAACATAACTTGGCAAAGCAGCACCAGTTTGTGACATGGCTGAAACATCATTAATATATTGTGCTCGGAATTGGCAAAAAAAGCTCTAGTAGGTTTTAAAATTATTGTAGCTACTTGATTTTGTAGTGATAAATGGGAAAATATATATATTGTCAACCTTCTGACCGCACGAAAGTTAATTTTTAATTTGTTTCTTTCCATGATGAGAAAAATGAAAGAAAAGTTGTCAGCCATCATTCTATTAATTACACCTTAAATTAATAGCATTTTGTAAGTACTTGCTTCTTAGAAACAGCGACTACGAAAAGTAGCCACGCCTTGTTGAATGAACATATATCATTAAGAGTTTGTTGGGTTCGATTTTAAATTAATTTGGTCTGGTTTTGAAAAAATCTAACCGAACATGAATCCAAATGATTTATGGAAAAACAAATGATATGAATCGAAATATTTCTATTTGGTTTTTTTTTTCCAAATAAAATTTTAAAGTTCAAATGTTTCTATTTTAAAAATAAAAATTGTTATTCTAAAATAAAAATTGATAAAGAAATTGATTTTTGTTAGAGGATAATATAAAATCATATTCTAGGGTCTTATCTAATAACTTAAGCTTTTAGATGAGATAGTTTTTTGACATGATATCAAAGCTTTGATGATTAAACGATCGCGAGTTCGAATCCTATCACCCTCACTTTCTTCTCTAATTAATTAAGCACAAGGTAATGTGAATTTTATAAATTTCAAGTCCATAGAGTTTTAATTTTAAAAAATATATATATTAAAAAAATAATATAAACAAATCTTATCTAATAATTTAAGTTTTTAAACGAGATCACCTTTGAAAATTTTGAACTCTTAAATAAACCAATTTGCTAGACTTGTCATTTGAAGAGACAAATAAACTTCTTGACTTACGAACAAAAACCTAGTCCACCTAGAATTTTCAGCTTTCAATGTGAAAATCCTTTTCACATTGCTATGTCGTGCTATATATAGACATGGTAACGGTTCTCGAACTGTCGATTTCGATTTAGGAATCATCGGTTAAGGTTCCACCAAAAGATGAAACCTGAACCAAACCTTCTATGGATGGTTACGGTTCCGGTTTGAATTCGTAAAATCGATGGTTCCAAACCGTTTGGAACCGACGATTCAACGATTTTTTTATTAAATGAAAAAATAAAAAAAAATCGAACATTTTTTCTCAAGTATAAATCAAACATTAACCTTGAAACGAAAAAACTTCTTTTTTGCATAATGTATAAATATTATAATATTTTTTACATTATAATGTATTTTGCACAATAAATCAAAGGGAAAAAAAGAAATAAATAAATAAGGGCTTGAACTTAATTTTTGTAAATATGACAAAAATTAAGCTTCCTACGTATCCTCTTGGGGTTGAGAGGAATCAAAGCTTACGTAGTATCACTTTGTTGTGATGGCATATGTGAACTTGAACTTGTCATTTTTTGTAGTATAAAACAATAGAAATGTAAAAAATTGAAGAAGTATTTGGAGTATAAAAAATATTATAAGACAGGTATTGGGAATTCTAGATTTAAGAGTTTAAGAGATTGAGAGAGAATGAGTTGTTAGGAGAATGAAAAAATTGAGAGTGTATTTATAGAGAAAAAAAACGATCACAAATGTGACCGTTTGTCACACACACACACACACACATATATATATATATTAAGCCCAAAAATTAAAAATTATTAGGCTTAATTTCTTTTTTGTCATTTTTCAATCCAATAGCTACCGTCCAGCCCATATAAAATTGGTTTTTTTTATTTAAATTTTTTCATTTTTTTCGACCCAACCCAAATTTATTAGGAAAGATGTGAAACCGTCGGTTCTACGAGTTAACTATCGATTTAGAACCGTCGATTTCAATTCCATGATACCTTAAACTATAACCAACCCATAGGTAGCCGGCGAAGATCCGGTTTGGTCAAGGTTGCGGTTTTAACGGTTTCGGTTTGTTTTTTTAATGGTTTGGTTTTGATTTGGTTTACGGTTCGAACCGAACCGTTACCATGTCTAGCTATATATGTGTGAGTGACGACTAGAGTACTTGAAACTTTATAATTGTGTCCGTGTTGATTTTTCAATATGAATTGAAGGTTTTTTTCCAACTAGATCACACTTAGCTTGAAGCTAAATTAAGTGCATTTACCTGTACCATCAAAAGATGTGGTTTATATATATATAATCAAAACCAATTTTTAATTTTTATTATTTATGAATAATTAATTATAATTATTTTTTAATAATATTAAATTAAATATTAAATATGCTTTGCTATTGGTTTAATTTGAGAAGAAATGATGGACTTAAATACAAAAACTAATATATATATATAAACACATTGAATTTTCTCGCTTTAGTTGATTGATGTAGACACGACCTTTTTTTCCACACCTGAATTAGTGCTTTGGTTGATTGATGCGGACATGACTTTTTTTTTTCTCCACTCCTTTGGTACTTCTATTTCTCTTTACCGGACAACCAAGTATCTAACCTCCCGTTTGGATAGGGATGAAAGCGAGGAGAGGAAAGAAAAATATGGTGAAAATGAAAGTTTTTCCCTGTTTGGATTGTAGAGGAAACCATAGGAAAGAAAAAATAATAAATAAATGCTTTTTCCGTGGGACCCATTTTCCTCCTAAAATTGGGAGGAAACGGGGAGAAAAGCGTGAGATGTATATATATTTTTTTTTGTTTCACATTTTTGCCCTTGCCTCGACTCGTCCACGGATCCGCAAAACAAATCTCTAATCAAACCCCCACCAAAAGATGGACTGCTAATCAAGTTATTGAACCTTTTACCCACCACCAAAACCCCCACCGATCGTTAATCAAAGAGTCTCTCTTACCAAACCCCCTCTCCCTCCATCTTCCCGCAATGCACCAAAAACCCGCCGTCACCACCACCACCGCTCATAACCCACAAATCCACCCTACCTTTCCTTCTCTACGGTCCCCAAAATCAGAACTTGCATCGATTTCTTCGGTCGTCACTCTACCCGTTTCATTTCCAAGCTCAATTTCGGGCAGCCCATAACCACCATGGGTACTCGCCACACCTTAGGCGCCCAAAAGCTCTCCGAACGTAATAGAGTATGGAAAAGATGAGGGGGCCCTTGAAAATGTGTTGCTTGGGTCGGATGATTATATTTTCTTACTTCGGGAGCTTGGTAATCGAGGAGACCGAAAAAAGCCATTTGTTGCTTTGAATTTTCAGTCAAAAGGGAGAGGAAAAGGAACGAACAAGGTAAATTCTCCGAAGAATCTCAAAATTTACGGGGACGTAAGTTTCTTTGTTTTGTGATATTATGGGAACTATTTGAATTTATGATTTTCTCGTGTTTATGAGTCAAAGTTGTTACTATTAATTAGTTGATGCTTAGCTAGGCATGAGCGGATATTGGGGAATACTTTTGTTATCGAGAAAAACATGAGCCCTTCGACCGGAGAGGTTCCTCCTCGAGTTGGAATCTGTCTTGTTCAACTTAAATGTTGATATTGAGAAACTTTTTGTTCATCTCGTTTTGTTTTAGAATGTTACACTTTGTCAGCTTTAGAAGGTTTAACATGCGGTTTTCTCGGCTTGAATACATAGAGAGTTTTATTATTATTATTATTATTATTATTATTAAAAAGCCATGAATTGATAGTATGTAAGTTGTCGAGTTGCAATGCTAGGAAATTTGTGCTATAAGTCTGCAGGAAAAAACATTCCTCTTTAATAATTTAATTGAAATGTCTCTTTTGCTTTTGTCACTCTCAATGGTTTCTTATGTCTGGAAATTTTTTGGGAATTCATGTTAAGTTGCAAGTTGGTTGGATATATCGGCATTAATCTTCTCTTGCAGTTACCTATTGGTTATTTCTAGTTTATTTTAACATATTCTTGCATAAGACTCGTAAAAACCTAAAAAATTAGAATGGATTCTCAATTTCTTGTCTATTTGGTTAGACTTAGTGCAAGTGTTTCTTCATTTGCTAGGTTTATTTTCTTGTTGAAGCTAACCATGTGAAACAAATCCAAGTCACAACTCACACTTGTTTTTATATTTAATTTATGCAGGAATTTGATAAAAGAATTTTAGAAGGATTTCAAGTCAGCCCAATTTGGCACCAAGGCTTTATTCGTGATGACGACAAGTATCCTTACTCACATCATTCATAACGATCATCTACAGCTTGAGTTTCGGGATCTAACATAAAAAACGCATTTGCTCGTGATGTGCTAAGGAGGTCATAAGCTTTATATTGCCAATAAAAGGCAATCCCCCGGAACCCGGAACCGGCTTACAAATTGTGAATGAAGCATTTTTTAGTTTGTATTTGCCCCAAGCTAGACCACCGGGGTATGCCCAAGTAAATAAGGGTAATGGTCTGTCCAAGCTAAACCCATGAAAAAAGTGACCATGCAATGTTTTTTTGTGTAAAAGCTCCGCATTTGGAGGCCAAAGCAAAGATCCGAAGCTATCTATGTCGCTTCTCATGGTGGGCTAGCTAGCTTAATTAGAATTTTGAAGATTGAGAGGAGGGTACAGAAATGCGGGGTTCAATTATATGTTGTCAACGCTCACATGAAAGGAGAAGAGTGGCTTCGATTTTTGTGGTTGAATGTAATGCTTGGTTGGTGTCTATATATACAAACCCACGAGAGAGAGGAGGGAGCCGGTAGGATTGACAATAGAAATCCATTTAATCAAAAGATATATTTGTATCTTTTTTCATATCCTTACATTGGATGTAATTTTTGGATATAATTTTTAGACTTTCATGCCTCCTCAATTTGAAGGATATTCACAACGTTTCTTATAATCGTTAATTTAATTTAATTTAATTTAATTTATTTTTACAATTTCTCATAACTACACAAGTATAATTTGTAATTAAAAAAAATATGATGAAAAAAATATGTGAATGCAGCAATTTTCATCTAAAATTTGACGTCTATTAGGATTTATAATTACATAAGAAAATCAAACCCATAACTTGAGGGCGATAAACAAGTAATAATCCAAGCTAAAACTTAGGGGTCATGATTTATTTTTGCATATTAGCCTATGACTCTACATAAAAAATTATCATCATTTCATTCCTCAACCTTTTTACATTTTTTGATATGTTACTTGGGAGACCCAACACCTCCCCCAAAGCACCAAAATTAGCTCTCAAACAGCTACAAACAAGCCCTAGAACACCCTAAAAATAGCCTCAAAACGGATCCAACGCCTACCCAAAGCCCTCAAACGCAGACCTTGAAACGAGTTACCAACATCTCCCCAAAACCCTTACAGAGCAACCCTTTTGAATAGGTCATTTAAATCACTAAAGCAGCTCCAACAACAACTGCAAACCAGCTTCAAACCACCAAAAAAAAATCCAAAAAAACCTAAAAAAATAGGCCTAAAACCAACCTCAAAACAGACCTAACACCTACCCAAAGCCCCCAAACTCAGCCACGAAACCGTTACCAACAACCCCCCAAGACCCTTACAGAGCAACTCCTTTGGAAAGGCTATTTGAACCACCAAAGAAGCTCCAAAAACACCACCATACCAGATTCAAAACCACTAAAAAAACCCCTCAAAAAAACCCATCAAAACGGACACAAAAAATCCCTCAAAACGAGCCCTCGAATACTTTTTGGAGTTATTGCAAAAGAAGAAATAAAAATTATTTGTGATTTATCTCATTTTTTGTGATTCAATTGAATTTCCATGATTGTTCGCAATATTACAATATACTTCTTCTTTTTTAATTGCTAAATAATAATTTTTTATTCTAAAAAAAAAAGCTGAGAAAATGATGGTTAAAACCAACTAACTTATTATATGCATAGATAATAATACATGCTATACATATTTAAATTAATTTTATGTTGATAATTAATCTAAATTAGCTATTGAATTAATTAATTAATAAACGAGTTATCAATTATTTTATAGAGATGATTCATTATCCATCTTATCATTTTAGATAGAAGTTGCATGCTAGATTTTTATTTTATTATCATTTGTGTTATTTTCAAGAAAAAAATATTCATAAACGTTTATTATAAGTATTTAAATATAGAAATATAATCATAAGGGTATTATAGTAAATATAAAATAATATATTTTTTTTACTCCCTTTTTTACAATTATCCAAACAAAGAAAATATACTTTTTTTCCTTTCATTTCTACTCTTATCTAAACAACAAACGAAAAATAATTTTCTTTCCTCTCTTTTTTTTTTTTCCTCTTTTCTTTTTTCTCAAGAGAAAATATCCAAACAAGGGGTAAAGCTTATCATTGACTGAATCAAATACATGGACAACCAGATACCTAAAGCTTATCATCGACTCAGTCAAATGCATGCATGAATCAATCACTATTAGCTACATTATTGCCAATTTTACACTTGATCTCATTGATAGTATTAAATCTAGCAGCAGATTCGTTTAATAATTTTTTTTTAATTTTATTTAGACATTTGATATCAGTGAAAATGAAATATGTTTTCTTATCTTTAAATTTTTAAACCTCATCTATTTTGAAAGCATGTGTATTTTAAAAAACTTTTCGTACCTGTTTTTGACAAATGTCATATACAAATACGAATATTGTATTGCATCTGTACGCATATTGTATCATAAATTTTCAAACATTGTAGTATTTATGTCGTGTCGTATCCATATTCCATCTTCATATCTGTACTTATAATCATTAATATAATGTTGTAACTCAACCCTCCAATACAATAATATTCATAAAAAAAATTTATTCATCGATATAATTTTCACATAATCAACTAATATAATAAAACTATTTATAATAATAAAATAAAATAAAAAGTATAAAACTAAATGGATACCATCAAGTTGAGGTAACTGATGATGACTGCAGAAATTGCTTTCGTAGATAATTTAAATATGATATTTCTACATAATAATAATCATCTATGACTATATGGGATAAAAAAGTAACCAAACACTGTCGCTCCAAATATACAGGGATAATTATAAGAAAAACCCTCTAAAAAAATTTTATATCCAAAAAATCTATCAATTTATTCTTAAATCTCTCAAACCCAAAATAATATTTTTCTTACCAAAACATCAAATAATTAACCTCTAATTTAACACTAGTTAACTATTGAGTCTTTTGGTAAGAATTTTGTTTTTTTTTCAGTTAGAATTTTTTTTAGAGTTTTTTTTATATATTTTTTTATCTAATAATAAACTCATTTCATAGTTTTTAACGAGTTTGAGACTTATTATTTTCTTTTCATGATCAAGTCAACTTCCTTTTATTGCATTCGAAAGAAGAAAAAAGTTTTTTAGGTTTTTTAACTTTTAAACACTAACATTCGATAACTTTTTTTTTATTAATATACTAAAAAATTTCTTATATTAGAGTTTTTTTTTTTTTATCGACCATTTGTTTGATTAATTACAAGACAAAGTTTCTATCTAGTAACTATAGCAACCGAGACAATTTAACTAATTAATATTGATGAAATAAGACTTTTGTCATTCTTTTGTAATTTAATCAAAAGGTTATCATACGAGTAAAAAAATAAAATATGTATGATTATGAACATTAGTGATTTCTTAAATCCTAATATATTGATAGAAAAAAAAATCATCGATAATACTACTTTTTAATTAATCAAAACTCAACATTTTTTATCAAACAATTAAATTAAATTACAAGATGAATGTATAATATATTTTAGTGCATTAATTAAATAAAACATAATCATCCATCATAGAAATATATACCTTGAAAGATAATGGTTTTATTTACATTGAAACGAAAAACTTCTTTTTTGCATAATGTATAAATATTATAATATTTTTTACATTATAATGTATTTTGCATAATAAATCAAAGGGAAAAAAGAAATAAATAAAGAAGGGCTTGAACTTAATTTTTGTAAATACGACAAAAATTAAGCTTCCTACATATCCTCTTGGGGTTTAGAGGAATCAAAGCTTACGTAGTATTAATTTGTTGTGATGGCATATGTGAACTTGAACTTGTCATTTTTTGTAATATAAAACAATAGAAATGTAAAAAATTTAAGAAGTATTTGGAGTATAAAAAATATTGTAAGACAAGTATTGAGAATTCTAGACTTAAGAGTTTAAGAGATTGAGAGAGAATGAGTTGTGAGGAGAATGAAAAAATTGAGAGCGTATTTATAGAGAAAAATTTGTGACCGTTTGTCACACACACACACACACACACACACGATATATATATATATATATATATATATATATATATATATATATATTAAGCCTAAACATTAAAAATTATTAGGCTTATTTTTTTTTCATTTTTCAGTCAAATAGCTACTCGTCCGACTCCATATAAAATTGATTTTTTTATTTAAATTTTTTTATTTTTTTCGACCTAACCCAAATTTATTAGGAAAGATGTGGAACTGCTCGGTTCTACGATTAACTATCGATTTACAACCGTCGATTTTGGTTCCATGATACCTTAAACCATAATCAACCCGTAAGTAATCGGTTACGATCCGGTTTGGTCAAGGTTGCGGTTTTAACAATTTCGATTTGATTTTTTAACGATTTGGTTTTGATTTAGTTTATGGTTCGAACCGAACCGTTACCATGTCTAACTATATATGTGTGAGTGACGACTAAAGTACTTGAAACTTTATAATTGTGTCCGTACTGATGTTGATTTTTTAATATGAATTGAAGGTTTTTTTCCAACTAGATCACACTTAGCTTGAAGCTAAATTAAGCGCAAATTAAGCGCATTTACTCGTACCATCAAAAGATGTGGTTTATATATATATAATCAAAACTAATTTTTAATTTTTATTATTTATGAATAATTAATTATAATTATTTTTTAATAATATTAAATTTAAACCGATTTGATTTTAAAAAAATCTAATAATAAATTAAATATTAAATATATTTTGTTCCTAGTTTAACTTGAGAAGAAATGATGAACTTAAATACAAAAACTAATATATAAATCACACATCAATCAACTAAGGCAGACAATTTATTGTCTTAACTCTTAATTTACTGAGAGCCAACAAGCACAATGAATTTTCTATATATATAATCAAAACTCATTTTAATTTTTATTATTTAATAATAATTATTAATAATTATTTTTTAATAATATTAAATTTGAACTAATTAG